AAAAAAAAAAAAAAAAAAAGAGCTAGCACTGTTTAACTGAGGGACATTAATAATGAAGACAAGCTTTGTGCTTTAGGGACCATATGAGGAAAATATATGAAGTAACCAAAAGATAAAAGAAGTCACGTCTTTTCTGGACACCCAGAATAAATCAGTGCTTAATGTAGGAAAGTAGTAGTTTGTGGGTTATATATTCAAGAATTATTTAAGCATAACTCAGTGGATAGGGCGCCAGCCACATACACTGGGGCAGGTGGGTTCAAACCCAGTCCAGACCTGCTAAACAGCAATGACAACTATAACAAAAAAATAGCCAGGCATTGTGGCAGGCAACCATAGTCCCAGCTACTTGGGAGGCTGAGGCAAGAGAATCACTTAAGCCAAGAGTTTGAAGTTGCTGTGAGCTGTGACACCACAGTACTCTACCAAGGGCAACATAGTGAAACTCCATCTCAAAAAAAAAAGGCAAAAATCTTTATGAAAGCAGGCCTATTGCCTTTCCTATGGTGTATACAAAGGTGTTTATATGCTACCACCCATTCAGATTGGTGACAGGTTTTATTTGCAGCCTGTCTAAAAAGAGAAGCTGGCCAGCTGCCATGGCTCAGGCCTGTAATCTTAGCACTCTGGGAGGCCGAGGCAGGAGGATTGTTAGAGGATGGTAGTTAGAGACCAGCTTTAGCGAGAGTGAGATTTGGCCTCTACCAAAAAAAGGAGGAAAAATCTTCCAGGTGTGGTAAGCATGCTTATAGTCCCAACTACTCAGAAGGCTGAGGCAGGAGGATTGTTTGAGCCCAGGAGTTTGAGGTGGTTGTGAGCAATGATCATGCCTCTATATTCCAGCCTATGTGACAGACCGAGACCTTGTCTCAAAAAAAAAAAAAAAAAAAAACCTACAACTTGGACTTTACCTAACAAATTCAAGCAGTGGAACCTAATCATTTGTACCCATATAGTAATCTGAAATTTAAAAAAAAGAAAAATGATACAAGCCATGTTTATCCACTGAGTTGGAATAATCCTCATAATTGAAAAGAAACATCCTATATTAAACTGAAGCTCAGCAATCTAAAGGACACAGACATAACAATAAACAGAATGAACAATTACATATGGCATGAACAAACATGCTCACGGAGGTATCATTCACAGAGCAGTGTGATCTAAGGGGAGGCTCAGGCTCAGAGAGGAGATGGCATTAAGGATGAGAATTGAAGAAATAGAATTTTGTCAGGCATCAGACAGACTGAGAGAAGGAAGATGGAAGTGAAACATGTCAGAGTAAGGATACATAAGAAAGAACATCCTGTCCCCCTTGGTAGAGGCAGGGAAGAATGTGAGACTATGAAGATGGGAGGCAGAGATCAGGTTATAAAGAACCTTTCATGCCATTAAGGAGTTTATATATAGGCAACAGAGGGCCACTGATGTAGGAGGGCATATATTCAACAAATTATTATTGAAAAATGTCTATTATTTCTTGCTGGCAAAGCTAGAGGAATATCAGATATCCTTTGACTAGTAGCTACCGTGTGCTAAGCACTGGGTAGGGAAACTGAATGATTTCTGCCTTGCGGGGGGTTTACATTCTAAAGGGCGGACAGTCAAGATGAAAACCTTGCAGGCTGTTATAATGATTTTAACTTTCAATCATAGTGATGTGGGAAGCTACTGGGAAGTATGAGCAGGTGAGTAATTGTGTTGAGAATCAACTGAATGGACAATGGCAAATCCAGGGTCATAATTAGAATTAGGTAAAAGATAATGTGTTTTAGAGCAGGGTCATAGCAATGCAGAGGTAAAAGGTGGTCAGACACTGCATAATCGGAAGATAGAGTGAATAAGATTTGCTGATAGGCTGGAGAGGATGCAGTTTGAGAGAGGATTACTAAGGACTAGAAGAATGGAGCTGCCGCTTACTGAGATGGCAAAGATGACAGGAAGGAGGTGGGTCAGGAGCTCTGTCTGTGCCTGTTTGTCTATTAGACATCAAACAGAGATACCGTGTAGGCAGTGGAACATACAAACCTGGAGTCCAGGACAAAGGCCCTAAATCAGTGGTTCTCCACCTTCCTAATGCCGCGGTGCTTTAATACAGTTCCTGTGGGTCTCGACCCACAGGTTGAGAACCGATGCCCTAAATTGATCTATTAATTTGGAAGTTATCAGCATATAATTGGGACTTAAAGCCAGGCTGTGAACGAGACTTGATGGAATTACCAAGGAAGCGAAATGGAATAGAAAATGACAAAGGACAGATCCCTAGGGCACTAGAGTGTTTAAGAGGTTAGAAAAACCGGCTCAGTGCCTAGAGCTCAGAGGCTAAGGTGCCGGCCACATACACCAGAGATGACAGGTTTGAACCCAGCCCAGGGCCTGCTAAACAACAATGACAAATGCAACAAAAAAAAATAGCCATTGCAGGCATTGTGGCAGGCGCCTATAGTCCCAGCTTCTAGCGAGCCTAAGGCAAAAGAGTTGCTTAAGCCCAAGAGTTTGAGGTTGCTGTGAGCTGTGATGCTACAGCACTCTACCGAGGGTGACATAAGACTCTATCTCAAAAACAAAAAAAAAGTTAGAAAAACAAAAAGAACCTGCAACTAAGAATGAGGTTATTGCCAGAGAGGAGGAAAACCAGGAGGGTGTGCCTGGAGGGAAGCCAAAGAAACAAAGTGTTTCAGAGTGAAGGGAATCACCAGCTGTGCCAAACACTCTGTGCTCTCTGGTAAGATGAGAACTGAGAGTGGTCTTCAGGGTTAGCAGTTGGTTATGGGTGACCTTGAGAGTAGATAGAATGGACTCAAGAAGAGAAATTAAGGACAGAAGCAGAGAGTCTCTTGATTTTTTCCTGTAAAAGAAAGGAAAGAAGTCTCAGTGCCTGTGGCTCAAGTGGCTAAGACACCAGCCACATACACCCAAGGTGGCGGGTTCGAATCCAACCCCAGCCCCCCAAAAAAAAAAGAACGCCGAAAACAAAAAAATAGCCAGGCGTTGTGGCAGGTGCCTGTGGTCCCAGCTACTTGGGAGGCAGAGGCAGGAGACTCGCTTGAGCCCAGGAGTTGGAGGTTGCTGTGAGCTGTGATGCCATAGCACTCCACCTAGGGGGATAGCTTGAGGCTCTGTCTCAAAAAAAAAAGAGAAAGAAGTGGGAAATAATTTTTTTTTTTTTGAAACACAGCCTCAAGCTGTCACCCTGGGTAGAGTGCTGTGGCATCACAGCTCACAGCAACCTCCAAATCCTGGGCTCAAGCGAGTCTCCTGCCTCAGCCTCCCAAGTAGCTGGGACCACAGGCACCCGCCACAACGCCTGGCTATTTTTTGGTTGCAGCTGTCATTGTTGTTTGGTGGGCTCGGGCTGGATTCAAACCCGCCACCTTAGGTGTATGTGGCTGGTGCCTTAGCCGCTTGAGCCATAGGCGCCAAGCCAGAAGTAGGAAATAATTGAAGGAGCAAATAGGATAGAGAAAGGTTTTTCTTTAAGAAGGGGAGGGGGTGTGGGGCTTGGTGCCTGTGGCTCAGTAGCTTAGGGCACCAGCCACATACACCGGAGCTGGCAGGTTCGAATCCAGCCCAGGCCTGCCAAATAACAATGACAACTATAACCAAAAAATAGCCAGGCGTTGTGGTGGGCACCTGTAGTCCCAGCTATTTGGGAGGCTGAGGCAAGAGAATCACTTAAACCCAAGAGTTGGAGGTTGCTATGAGCTGTGACTCCACAGCACTCTACCCAGGGTGACATAGTGAGACTCTCAAAACAAAAAAAAAAAAAAGGAGGAGGAGTTTTTGCCTGCTAATGGCAAGATCCAGTAGGGAGGAAAACATTAACAGAACAGAAGGAAAGAGCCCTGGTGGTGCAGCACTTTATGAAAGACTGAACACATTGCTGACCAGTCATGAGTTACCCAGGGACATGGGTAGTTTCTGCATAAAGTTGCTAATCAGCAATGTGTTAACATAGCAGCTACTCCCTGATTCATTTCTTCCAGTCTCAGTTCCCAGTTGTCCGAAATTCAGCCTGTTTTATTTTTTCTCCCCAACTTGTCTTTTAGTTGCTTATAATATAAAATCACTTAGTGTCTCTAGTATCTTAATACATTGTTGTTAAGAAACGTTAAGATTTGCTTGGTAGCAAAGTGAAGGCACAGTGTCAGTGAAAATAATGGCAAAAAAAGCCTGTGAGGCCATGAGAGTGGTCTGCAGGAGATTTGATGAGTTTCTGAATCAGACTGGGGGCTGTGTTGTTGGCATTGTTAACACAGGCAGTAATTTAAGCTGCAGGTGTAGATGAAATTGCCCAGAGAGAACAGAGTGGCACTAACAACAGGTAAGAGGACACAGGAAGACAAGCCCAAAATTCAGAAGCACCCTCCAGGGAAACAGGAAAAAAACAAGAAAAAGTGGGCAAGATACCAAGGGAAGTTTTGTGGAGGGAGAGTCTGCCTTCCTGCTGCCACAGAGGCAAGGTGAGGTGAGGCTTTGGCATGCCCTCCAGGTGACTGTCTGAGAAATTACAGTTTGGTGAAGGAGCAGGGCAGAGCCCCATTTCACTGTTGGTTGAGGAGTAAATAGAAACCTAACGTAAAGGCAGTAAATGAAGATTGTACTTCCAAGAAAGGTAAGCAGCAAGGCCTTTACTAGGCTTAGAACAGCATTCCTTGAAGACAACAGCTTCTGGAAAGGCTTGGAAGCATAGAAGGATTTAGATAAGGAATCTTAAATAATTTGATATGAAATCTAACTTTTTTTAAGTATTTGACTCATTCAGTGTTTTTTTCTTTTGTTTTTTAAAACTGAGCAATGTGTAGTTCTCTTTGAGGGAAACAATGAAGTAAGCTTCTGTTTAGTTGTATCTATGTATGTACCTTAGTCACCTTTTAAAAACACCCTGAAGCCTTTCACGTGAGATTTTGAAATTGCCGAAGTTCTAGAAAGGGAGACAATACTAGTCTTTTCAATAACGTGTTCCCATGCTTCTCTCCTAGTCAACAGGTGTTGGATGAAAGCTTTCTTTTCCTCGGTTTGCTTGTTTCAGAATGTAAGTCAGCGGAAATGTCCACTGAACAAAATTCTTGGACACGCCTGTTCACGGCTCAGAAAATAGCCCTGGGCCTGGGCATCCCAGCCAGTGCTGCAGTCGCCTACATCCTGTACCGCAGGTACAGGGAGAGCAGAGGTACGGCTATGCGCGCAGAGATGCTCAGGCCATGCTCCTGCCTTTTTAAATGAGGACGAAAACTTCCCTTGCCGGGCAAAGTATTATTGGGGTGAATTGGCTGTCTGTGAAGAATCTTTCAGTGAAATTATTTGGTTTCTTTTTTCCCATGTTCTTTCTATGAAGCTAGTCTATAAAACTACTACAACTCCATTCATCTGTCCCTTTCAGCAATATCAGTGTGGCAATGGGATTTTTAAAAATTTCTATACATATACATATACATATATATATGTTCCTTCTCACTAATTAGTTGTTAGAAGCTAATTTCTTCAAAGTCTGAACCTAGAGAGAGGACTTGTGTACATGTCAGGAGAGGTTCTGAGCCTAATGGATACCTGGGGCAACTTTTGACCTTCATTCTTCTCCAGTAGTCCTGTCTTGGAAAAGTAGTTTGCCCAAAACCCAGCTCCTCTTCTTTGGAGAGTCTACTTTTCCTATTTTAGCATCTGAAATAGTATTCCAGAGAACATGCCCATCTCTGGTTTGTTGAGAACCTTCTGATTCTTCCCAGGAAGCTGCTTCTCTTTATTACCACGGTTGAGGTCCTCAGTTTGTATTTTGGATCAGGGTCTGTTTGACAGGCAGATCTAGGGAAGGGCTGGTAGTATCTGAGTGGGTGGGTGTTGTCTGAGTTCAATCTGATGAGCCATGATCTGTGCAGAAGAGCGGCTGACGTTCGTTGGGGAGGATGACATTGAAATAGAGATGCGAGTTCCCCAGGAAGCTGTGAAGTTCATCATTGGCCAGCAAGGAGCCAATATTAAACAGGTGAGTGTATGATCAGGGAACAGGCTTTCCCAAGATTGAGTCTGTTTATTGATCTCTTGTTTTCTTCCTCTGACCTCATATCACAAAACACACCCATGTTGTGTATATTTTGAAAAGAACAAGTACAGGAACTTTTTAGGTAACTTTGATATTTTCTTTCTAGAGAAGAGTACTTCTGCCTAGAGAATGGGTGACTTAGCTTGAAATAGGGGTTTCTGGTTGGATGATTGTCAGACTGAAATAGCTTGAACTATTCTTTTCTACTGTAGAAGTAATGAATTCATTAATTGACAGTAAATATTGCTGCTTGTTCTTACTATCATCCATTGTTGAAATGTCAAGAAAGCAAAATATGATTCTCAAGTCTAAATAAAATTGGGGGTGGGGGAAGCATTCTAAAACCAAAGAAAAAAGAGTTTAGAATTTACTGCTATTTGGGGTTACTTTTGCTACAAATCTCCTTCTCTAAGTATAAGTAATTAAGGACTGATTATAGTGTCTTGATTAGCTAATCAAGCTGATGTCTTTGGCCAACTCTTTCTACTTCCAGGGTTTGCTTCAGAGTGTCCTTAGCTGGGCCCAAGTGGGAACACTTCCAGAACATATTGGAACATGTCATGTCCTTTTCTCTGCAGCTGCGGAAACAGACAGGTGCTCGTATTGATGTGGACACAGAGAATGTAGGCGATGAGCGAGTGCTGCTTATCAGTGGTTTTCCTGTTCAGGTGTGCAAGGCCAAAGCTGCGATCCATCAGATCCTGATAGAGAACACCCCAGTGTCTGAGCAGCTCTCAGTTCCCCAGAGATCTGTGGGCAGAATCATAGGTACCACTGGATGGCTTTCTCTGTGTCCTTTATTCTTTACTTTTGCCTTTCTTTCACAATTTTCCAAGGGTTCTTCTGGCCTATTCTCCTTTTACCTTGCTGAAGACAAAAAAGACAGGGACATTGAGACAAAAAGGTTTACTTTTTTTTTTTTCTTTGAGACAATCTTTCTTTGTCACCCTTGGTAGAGTGTTGTGGCATAGCTCACAGCAATCTCAAATTCTTGGGCACAAGCAACCCTCTTGCCTTAGCCTCTCAAGTAGCTGGGATTACAGACACCTGTCCCACCACCCGGCTATTTTTTAGAGACGAGGTCTCGCTCTTGCTCAGGCTGGTCTCAAATTCATGAGGTCAGGCAATCCACCTGCCTCTGCCTCCAAAGTGCTGGGATCACAGGCATGAGCCACCATGCCCAGCCCTAGTTTTACTTTTTTAAGAGAATTGTTGGTGGCTCGGCACCTGTGGCTCAAGTGGCTAAGGTGCCAGCCACATACACGTAAGGTGGCGGGTTCGAATCCAGCCTGGGCCCACCACACAACAATGATGGCTGCAACCAAAAAATAGCCAGGAATTGTGGTGGGCACCTGTGGTCCCAGCTACTTGGGAGGCTGAGGCAGGAGACTGGCTTGAGCCCAGGCGTTGGAGGTTACTGTGAGCTGTGATGCCTTGGCACTCTATCCAGGGGGACAACTTGAGGCTCTGTCTCAAAAAAAAAAAAAAAAAAAAGGTTAGTAAAGTAAAACCCATTACCTCAAGAAGATTTATGATCTGAACCTTTGGCTCCAGAAGGGTTCTGGTAAATGTATTTGCCTTGTAATTTTTAAAGGGAAGCTAGGGTTCCTTATGTTATCCAAAATCTTTTAAAATGGGGCTCTAGGCTCAGCGCCTATAGCTCAACCGGCTAAGGCGCCAGCCACATACACCTAAGGTGGCGGGTTTGAATCCCCAGCCCAGACCCGCCAAACAACAATGACGGCTGCAACCAAAAAATAGGCGGGCGTTGTGGCGGGCGCCTGTGGTCCCAGCTACTTGGGAGGCGGAGGCAGGAGACTCGCTTGAGCCCAGGAGTTGGAGGTTGCTGTGAGCTGTGATGCCATGGCACTCTACCCAGGGGGACAGCTTAAGGCTCTGTCTCAAAAAAAATAAAATAAAATGGGGCTCTAGACAGTAACTATTATGCTTTCCCCCAGATCATCCCTTCAGGCTGCTGTTAGAGGCAGTGAAACATCCTGTTGTTGGTCCAGTATTCTGACACGCCTTGCAGCATATCCTGTTATAAGCTGGGATGTAAAGTGTGATTTTGCTAAGTGGTCGAAAAAAATGAAAATGACATGAAGCTAATCTAGCCTGAGAATGGAGTTTAAAATGGATAAAGCAAAGATTCCCATGTTCTCCTTCCTACAGTAATTGCAGCAGCTTCCTGCTTTGAATTCAACATCTTACATTTTGTTCAACTTGGAAATGAGAATGTCTGTCTTCTCCTCATATACACAAAATAACGATTTCTCTAGTAGTGAAGGTTGGCCAGCAGGAAAGGATGGGTTTTTATGTATTGTTCAATGTAGGAAGAGGCGGTGAGACGATTCGTTCTATCTGTAAGGCCTCTGGAGCCAAAATTACCTGTGACAAAGAATCAGAGGGGACATTACTACTATCAAGACGTATAAAAATCTCAGGAACACAGAAGGAAGTGGCAGCAGCCAAGGCAAGTAGACAGACTGATAGGCCAGAATCAGACTTGAAAAGGAGAAGAGCCTTTTCCTCCATCCTGGGTCACAATATTATCCTTTCTCTTGTCTTTATAGCATTTGATACTGGAGAAAGTTTCAGAAGATGAAGAACTTCGGAAGAGAATTGCACATTCTGCAGAAACCAGAGTTCCACGCAAGCAACCAATCAGTGTGAGAAGAGAGGAACTCACAGAGCCGGACAGAGCTGGAGAGCCAGCAATAGGGAAAAACATGAGTTCTAGCATGGGGCAGCCTGCTCCCCGGGCAGTTACTCCCCACAAAGGAGGCGGTGACATGGCTGCTGTGGGGCCAAAGGAAAGCTCCTGGGAGAAACCTAATGATGACAGCATTCAGAAGTCTGGCGCCCAGGCCATTCCGGAGATGTCTGTGTACGAAAGTATGTAACAAAGGGGGAAACTGGTAGCCAACATGGAAGGTAGAAATACTGGTTTAAATAACCCAAAATTGGCTCGGCGCCTGTGGCTCAAGCAGCTAAGGCTCCAGCCACATACACCTAAGGTGGCGGGTTCGAATCCCCAGCCCGGACCCGCCAAACAATGATGGCTGCAACCAAAAAATGACCAGGCGTTGTGGCGGGCACCCGTAGTCCCAGCTACTTGGGAGGCTGAGGCAGGAGACTCGCTTGAGCCCAGGAGTTGGAGGTTGCTGTGAGCATGATGCCATGGCACTCTACCCAGGGGGGATAGCTTGAGGCTCCGTCTCAAAAAACAAAACAAAACAAAAAAACCCAAAATTAGCAATAAAAAAATATCATTTCTGTTTTTGTGACTACATTTATGAGTTTGTCATCGCAGATATGCCTTTCTGATAATATGTTACTTGGATTAATGCTAAAATATTTTTCTGAATATAAATCAATTTTTTTTTTTTTTTTTTTTTTTTATACAGAGCCTCAAGCTGTCCCCCTGGGTAGAGTGCCGTGGCATTACAGCTCACAGCAACCTCCAACTCCTGGGCTCAAGCGAGTCTCCTGCCTCCGCCTCCCAAGTTGCTGGGACCACAGGCGCCTGCCACAACGCCCGGCTATTTTTTGGTTGCAGCCGTCATTGTTGTTTGGCGGGTCCGGGCTGGGGATTCGAACCCGCCACCTTAGGTGTACGTGGCTGGCGCCCTAGCCGGTTGAGCTATAGGCGCCGAGCCTAAATCAATTATTGATAAAAGAAAATGAGAGAAATACACTGACACAGGGAACTAGTCTGTGAGTAAATACATCAAATAATAGAAATTACATAATACTCTGTCTCTAAACCTACTTTAAAAAAAAATTTCAGGTTAGGCTCAGCACCTGTGGCTTAAGCAGCTAAAGCACCAGCCACATACATCTGAGCTGGTGGGTTCAAATCCAGCCCAGGCCCCCCAAACAACAATGACAGTTGCAAGCAAAAAATAGCCGGATGTTGTGGTAGGCGCCTGTAGTCCCAGCTACTTGGGAGGCAGAGGCAGGAAGAATCACTTGAGCCCAGAAGTTGGAGGTTGCTGTGAGCTGTGATGCAATGGCACTTTACCCAGGGTGACAGCTTGAGACTCTCGTCTCAAAAAATAAATAATAAAAATAAAAATTTCAGGTTAATGTGAGGGTATAAATACTAAGTTACAATGTTTATGTTTGTTAGGTAGAGTCCCTCTTATATTGTGTCCAGCCACTAGATGCGCCATATACAGTTACATTGTGCCCATTAAGTGAGAGCACATCAAGCCCCTCCCTCAAACCCCCTCCCACTGACTTGAATTGAGTTTTTCTCTTATGTGGGCATGAATTAAATCCTCCCCTGGCTTCATATTAGTATTGAGAACACTGAATACTTTTACATTCTTGTGATACTTTACTAAGAAGAATATGCTTCAACTCCACCCAGGTTAATACAAAAAATGTAAAGTCTCCATCTTTTTATGGCTGAACAGTATTTCATGGTGTACATATACCACAGCTTGTTAATCCATTCCTGGGTTGGTGGGCATTTAGGTTGTTTCCACATCTTGGCAATTGTAAATTCAGCTGTGATAAACAATCTAGTGCAAATGTCCTTATGATAAAATGATTTTGGGGAGTTGGGCATGGTGGCTTACACCTATAATCCTAGCACTCTGGGAGGCTGAGGTGGGTAGATTGCCTGAGCTCATGGGTTTGAGACCAGCCTGAGCCAGACTGAGACCTAGTCTCTAAAAATAGCCGGACACTGTGGTGGGTGCCTGTAGTCCCAGCTACTCGGGAGGCTGAGGCAAGAGAATCACTTAAGCCCAAGAGTTTGAAGTTGCTGTAAGCTGTGACACCAGGGCAATCTACCAAGAGTGACAAAGTGAAATTCTGTCTCAAAACTTCTGGGTAGATGCCTAGTAATGGAATTGTGGGATCAAATGAGAGGTCTAGACCTACTTTTTAAACAAGTAAAATTTTCAGATATTTTTTTTTGCCTATCTCATTACTGTTTTGAAAATCATCATTGTTCAAGAAGAATGAAAAGGCTGTGAGCTTTCTTTCCTATACGTAGGTATTGGCATAGGAAGAGAGGGCCAGGCTCCAGGCTTGCACAGTCCATGGTAGAATGGGGTCTGGGACAACCCATGTCTTTTGCTATCCACATACTTTTTTACTAATCCATGCTACAGCTAGCTATGGAGGACTCGCCATCATTATGATTGATGACTGATTTGAATACATGACATATGACTCAGCAAGTAAACTGTTGTTACATGGGGGATACAGAAGATAGCTTAGTGTGGTTCTTTAGGATGTTGTAGTATGATTCATCCAGTTGTCCTTTCAGCCATTTTAAAATGGTGACAGCCATTCAGTATTTATACCTCTTGCTCCCCTAATGCAGCCTCTATTTCAACCAGAGGTAGTTCTGATCCCATCCCTATACCTGTGTTCAGTCCCCAGTCCTGACTTCAGTTTCCATGCCGATGAGTACCTAGAAGTCTATGTCTCTGCATCTGAACACCCTAACCACTTCTGGATCCAGATAATTGGCTCCCGCAGCCTGCAGTTGGATAAGCTTGTCAATGAGATGACCCAGCACTATGAAAATAGCCTGGTGAGTTGCCACAGGGACAGAGCTGGGATATAATGAGAAGAGGTCACATCTTCTTCATTATAGTACTTGGTCTTTCCCTTTTCCTGCGGGGCATCTACTCGTTCGTTTGTCTCCTGCCATTCCCTGCTTATTAGCCTACTGCCTTGTAATTCTGTTCCTTCCTGACTTGCCCATGTTTAGCCTGAAGATTTGACTGTGCAAATAGGAGACATTGTAGCAGCACCTTTACTTACAAATGGTTCCTGGTATCGAGCCCAGATCCTTGGCACCTTGGAAAATGGGAACTATGACCTCTACTATGTTGACTTTGGAGATAATGGAGATTGTCCACTGAAAGACCTCAGGGCACTCAGGTCAGTGCAGAGGCCAGAATGGAGTCAGCTAGAATCTCGCCTGTTGACGAGTCCTGGCCATAGAGTTGTGAGCTGTTGGAATTCATCACCAGGGGATTTGGAAGGCAACCTATTTATGGACAGCTGGGTTGGGTGGTTCTGTCTGAAAGTAAGCGATATCAGAAGCCCCAAAAGGGTCAGGTGTGGTGGCTCACACCTGCAATCCCAGCCTTCTAGGAGGCCAAGATGGGTGGATCCCTTGAGCGCAGGAGTTTGAGACTAGCCTAAATAAGAGCAGGACCCATCTCTAATGAAAGTAGAAAAATTAGGGTGGCAGCTGTGGCTTAGTGAGTAGGGTGCCGGCCCCATATACCAAGGGTGGCAGGTTCAAACCCAGCCCCGGCTGAACTGCAACAAAAAAGCCTGGCGTTGTGGCAGGCACCTGGAATCTAAGCTACTTTGGTAGGCTAAGGCAAAAGAATTGCCTAAACCCAAGAACTGGAGGTTGCTGTAAGCTGTGACTCCATGGTACTCTACCAAGGGTGCAAAGTGAGACACTGTCTCTTAAAAAAAAAAAAAAAAAGAAAGAAAGTAGAAAAAGCCAGTTTTGTGGCAGGCACCTGTCATCTCAGTTACTCAGGAGGCTAAGGTAAGAGGCTTGAGCCTAAGAGTTTGGGGTTGCTGTGAGCTAGGCTGAGGCCATGGCACTCTATCCAGAGTTTTTTGAAACTCTGTCTCAAAAAAAAGGCTCAGCACCCATAGCTAAGTGGTTGTTAGAGTGCCAGCCACATACACCAGGGCTGGCAGGTTGAAACCCAGCCCAGGTCT